AAGGAGAAGGAGAAGGAGAAGGAGAAGGAGAAGGAGAAGGAGAAGGAGAAGGAGAAGGAGAAGGAGAAGGAGAAGAAATCTACCATCCAGATGGCTGAAAGGATGGCAGGGCAAGAGAGTGAAGATGACGATCTTCCTGATGCCGTGAGCAAAAGGGCTTCCCTTGCAATGCAGCCTTTCTGGAGTCAGGATCATAACTGTGATTAAAGCTCCTTCCCCACCCCACATTATCCAGACCCAAAGTGCCCCCATCAACTGCCATTTACTTTCAGAAAACCACAACCACTCCACTGAGAGTTTTGTGCACCCAAGTTTGCATTTAAGTATTTACTGAATTAAGACATTTCTCTGGGTCAGCCATTACTTTACCGCCCACTGAATGCCTGCCTTTAGCCAGCCTGGGCTTTGGAGACATTGGGAGGGGGCGTGGGGAGGGGTCTGGGAGCTGCACATCCAGCAATGGCAGGTTGGGTAAAGACAGGCCTGACAGGTCCAAAGCTTTGTGAGATAAGCCATGATATCAATGCAAAACAGGAACTCACTTTGCTGGCTCCACGGGGCGTCTTCAGAACAGTAGTCCTCGCAGTGGGGATGCGGTGGCAGCTGTTGGCAGCCAGGCCAGCTGAGGCCCAGTTGCCAACCTCTGGGCAGGCCTAAGCACCACACTGAGGCCAGGCAGCATGCCAGCGCCGTGACGCTACATGCCCCTGAAGCTGAAGCTGCTCTCTTCCTGCAGCCACAGGGCTCAACAAACAGAAACCCAACCGCAACTAAGGCAATAAGGAAGAAAAACCCTTTCCAATGCCCGGGCACATGCTGCCATCTATTGCTTCACCTGTTGAGTTTCTATCTGAAGAAACCTTCAGCTAGAGGAATGTGGTTGCATAACGCAGGAAAACAATTCACAGCACCCAACTGGCACCCATGGTGGATATCCAACTACATCAGCCTTCATGCATGGAGCACTTCTGCCTTGGGTCATCCCAGACAACCTGGTCTCCCCAGTCGCGCCCCTCGCCTCCTCTCAGCCTTCTGGGCAATCTCAGGGCCCTCCTCGCAAGCTGCCCCCCCCCGTGGTTTGGCAGAGTCAGAAGGGCCACTGGCATAATCGGATTAAGCCCCTTTCTCTGCCCACAATGGAGAGACTCTCAAAGAGGGCTAGAGTTTCTTGGCCCTTTCAGGGCGATTCTCACGGGGCTAATCCTACCTTTGCCCTGCTCTCTGCATGCCTGCTGGCTTCTTTTGGGGGGGGGACTTTGTTTCCGGGGTACCATGACAGAAACGAGCATCGTGTATATGAGAGACACTGCAGAGCGTTGTGTAATCCATCTCGCCAGCGGCATTTTACGGGCAGTAGAAAACAACGCCCAGAGGCAAAGCCTGAGGCCTTACAGTCAGCAGAAATAGATGTTTCGGACTACATCTGGGAGGGGAGGGAATGCAAAGAAAGCTTGCTTGTTCACTGGGATGAGGGGAATTGCTAGCACAGGAAACAGGGCATCTGCTGCTTCCAGGGGGCCGTTCAGGCTGAGGTCCGGGTCCCGCTCAGCAGGAAGAGGAGCAGAGGGCCTACGCGGGCAGCGGGGCTAAGCTGGAACCAGGGTCAAACATTATCCGAGTCGGTCAGAGAGGCACAGCAGTAGTGCCATTGCCATGAGAGAGACGCGCCGGAACATCCCGGCAGCGCAGGCCACATTCCACGGTGCGCACGCCATACTGTATGGAGCAAAGCCACGCTAGCAGCAGAGCGCCACAGGGGCAGGCTTCGGCAAAGGCGTGGGTGGGTTTCTCCTAACCCCTGCCACACACAGAGGGCGCAGGACCCAGCCCCTTGGTGCGGCAGAAAAGGCGGATCGCCGTCCTCCTTGCCGTAACAGAGCGGAACCTCCCCAAGAGCTCAGCACGGCAGTAGCCGAGTGAGGGGGCACCTTCTTCCTCTGAGGCCGTGCCCAGCACACCAAGCGCTCGCCCAGCATGGTGGTGAAGGAAGCCCTGGGAAAGGGACACTGTGCACTAAGCGGCTTGGCTGAGCCACCTACCTGAGCACAGGGGAAGGCTGTAACAGGTGCCTTACCTGTACTTTAAACACAAGCAGCTGCCCTGAATTCCAGACCCCTTCATGCCAACAAACGTTGATTCTCCCCGTGCTAGACCGGGTCTGCTGCTTTTCTACCCCTCGGCCAAAGATAACATAACATGTTGACCCTTTGGGTCTCTGAGTGGAAAACATGATAAGGAAGTGTTGCAAGAAAGGAAAAACAGCCTCAGGATAATCTCCCTTTAAGCGGAGACTGTTCTCTTAAAGATGGAATTTGCAGAAAATGGAGGTTTCTATTTAGAAACACCCCTCCGACTTCTCTGCTTTCAAAGGTGCCTGCACGAAGTTCAAAGAACCATTTTATAAGAGCCGAGCAATCTCCTTAATGCCGCACGATAAGCTCAGTCCAGCGGCCTTCTTGAGCCCGGAGACATTAGCTGGCCATCTTTGGGCAACCGACCAGCTTCCTCCTCGCTCAGCCTTGGCTGGCAAGGGACTGCGTCCCACGTGAGCAAATGCCTTCCGTGGAGGAGAAGGGAGGATTATTGTCTTGCATAACCTTATATAATATCAGTCAAGAGTAATTCAATCGCTTTTACATAACTGCCACCTTGCAGGGGCCTCTCCCGACTGACTTTGAGGCAGGTGCTCAGGCGGCGGTTATGCAAAGGGGGATCGGAGGGAAGGGAACGCGGGTCCGATTCAGGTGCGGTATGTTGACTCTCCCGGCCGCAGAACGCCTCTTGGCACCTCCTGATGCATCCCCATTCCATTTGTTTTGAAAAAGTGCCCCAGGGCGGTGGGCGGAACGC